ACACGTGTATCGCACAACGCCCAACACATTGCACACATGCATCGCTCAACGCCCAAGCCAGCGTACGCATGTATCGCTCAACGCCCAAGTCAGCGCACGCATGCATCGCACAACGCCCAACCCATCGCACATTTCAGCGCACAGGTGAACCGCACATGACGTTCACATGTCAATGAAGAAGCATCTTCACAAGACTATTGAATTTAGATAACTAACAAATAGCTTCTTGCTCCGTTCGTAGTACGGCCCGGAGCCCCTGTCGTTCGTAGTGTCCGATCGCTCCGGACTCGTAGCGATGGTAGGAGCCGTATACAGTAGCTTCTTTGCATCAATGGGTATGGGCATCACATGGCATAACCCTACACCAAAATTGGCATGGTATACATTGTCATGCTAACCATGGAGTACAAAGACTTACACTACCATTGGTACACCGTTGGCATGGTCTTCTTACAAAGACATCACACTCCCTGGACATATCATGCGGAGCATCCCGAAGACTCGGATGACCAGGAGTTCTGACCGTGTAAAACACACTTGCATGAGACGGACAAAGGGAGTGTACAACATGTAGCGAGCGTGGGTGTCAATAGCTTGGCTTAGATTACTACACTGCCAGATGTCCAGTCATCAGCAGAAGAACGAGGCGATTCACTAGCATTGATATGTATGTGCGTGTATACATATATAGTATATCCGATCCGATACCAACCCTACAGTGTCCATTACCTCTTAGAAATCACTATGGTCGGCCACAGAAAACCACACACACCAAGAAACGACCTTAAAGATCATTAAAGCCACCTAGTCTACCTCTTCGAAAGGGAACTGAAAGATACGTCGATACGTCCTGAAGAACGCTCCGAAAAACGGCCGGCATGGCAGAGTTCACTCCTCATCTGCTTGCAAGAGCCTGGTGGAGTACTCTGTGTGAAGCTGAACACGCTTGGCCTCGTCGAGAGAGCTGGGCCGGTGGGTGACAGGTTCGGTCCGGTTCAGTGCCTTCAGATCAGTGCCTCTGAAAATCACCTGAAGAAAGGGATGATCCACTTCACCCTGAAGTTCGCCTGGGGCTTATCTTGGCATATCGACCAAGATGGACCAAGTAGATCTGGGGCTCGTGTCAGTTCTCATGTTCATCCTGTGGAGTTTGGATGCCTCAAGTGGGGATGTCTGTCTCACTGATCCACCAACCACTTGCACTCCGCCTTCTGTTCCGTTGCTTGGAGACACCCCACCCACCCCTTCTTCCATTCTCAGCTGCAAAAGCATGGGCTGATGATGACGGATGAGGACGGATGGGTCTGGAAGGCTGACACATGAACCCTGGCAAATGCGAACACCGACTTCGCTCAGCCTCAAACTCCAGGGTCATCTTCTGCCTCTCCTCTCGCAAACGTCCGCGCCTCTCCTGCACTCTCCTGAACACCCAACACAGGGACCCAACGCATCGATCGTCCCGAAGGTGGGAGAGTCCGACACCCCGCTGGTGAGCTGGCGCTCGCTACGAACGGAGCAAGAAGCTACGAAGGGGGCTGCTGGCCTTACTACTAGGAGCAAGGACGCTACTACCCAGTAGCAAGTTGGGTTCCGTAATATGACCAGAGTGTTCAGTGTTGGAGTCCTAGCGTGGCACTTTCACACTGAACCCTCAGATGCTGGTGCCCCAAGGAACAAGACATCACCCAGACCTAATACGTCGTTGCAGCACCTGTGTGGCGTAACCCCTTTCCATTCTTGTGCCACACTTCTCACTTCCCATTCTGGTCAATCGCGTCCATACCCATGCAGCTCAGTTGAAATGAAATGAGATCATGTGAGATCACCTTTCGACTATGCAATTCGACATAGTTCAATCGACAACATCTTTATTCATCCACCTAAATACCTTAAATGATGCCTTATTAGTTCCAACCGAAACTAGGATGACGGGTCCGGGATACAGGAAACCTCCGTGGCACGTCAACCTCTGACTTGGAAACCAATGCCTGATATAGTAATAATAAGAAATAATAACTATATATATATAGACTTCTGAAACAAGGAATGAAACGCTTCCAATGCATATGTCTCTATGTCTCAATCTCTTGTTTCATTCTATTTTGATCTGCTTCAGTAGACCGCGGACGTCGCATCGCTTGGGACGTACGACCGGCGCCTGATGAGCTCATCCGACAGCTCATCAATGCGATCGAGTGGTTGACTCGGACCACTCGGCGGACCGGCATCGGCTGGGGCACTGGCATCCGCCATGAGTCTTTCATGGCTTGACCTACTTACACGTGCAAGATTACGAGGTGGTTTGCAAACATCTGCAGCGGGTTGTTGGCATTTTCCTGCAGCGTTTGCATGTGGGCTGAACGTATCACATGCACAAGTCTGCTTGGGATCAACTTCCTAGGCACCAGTCACAATTTCCATGCGGTTGTTCGTTCAGCTTGCAGTTTCTTGACTGTCCCCAGGGACCTTGAGTATCCCCCACAAGTGTTACCACTCCAAGGCCTTACTTGTGCCTTGCATCTCTTGTAGCTTAATAGTCCAGTTGTCTGCTAGCAAACTCTAGCAAAATTGCTGGTTTCCAGTTGAGCCACCGGTAGAATGATCACAATAAGCAAACACTGCTTTCTTTCGAGCTACCCTGACCAGGCTGCAAGACCGTTCAGGTGAGTAGTATCATGATGTGTACGGTAGTCTTTTTTTCCACAGCCTGGTCTTGGGGAGAGTCCCCAATGGGAGTCACAACCAAGCTGATGCCAAAGTCCTTGTGGAGGTGATCTTTTCACGGGCAAGACACGCTAGCTCGGATTGCTCTCTTCGTCACGGCATTGGAATGAATTATGCCACAGTCTGGCACGGCACTTGCGTCTGCACGGCCAACCAGCTGTCCTTCGTGTGGCACACGGCGGGCCAATACTTTTTGGCTCAGCATCCAGTTGAGGAATATGTTGGAAGGTGTTGAAGTATAGTGGGTGTGTCTCAAGCAAAATAAATAGAATCCAGAATCCTATATATCTGTAAGATGGTCGTCAACATCATACTTTATCATGTTCGCTTGTCCGAACCTGTCAAAACATTCAAAACACGGATAAACTCTCTTGAAGTTCATTCGGGGTCAATGGTCAATGTATGTAGCTTGTGCTACTTCTGCTGTATCTTCGATCGCACGGAAGCTCACTTCTCTTGCTCTTCGATCGCACGCAGTCTTGGTCATCCACGGCCACACGCCCCAGTCACCGTAGTCGGCAACCAAATCACCAGCACTCCATTCATTCGGTGGACGGCAACAAACAGAATGGTCTTTCAGACTTAAGTGGATCAAATTCTGGCCTTTCTTGTGATGTGTCCGATGTTTCTATATATATATAGCCATGTATAAACATAAGTATACAGGACGATTTCGACTAGCTTGGGGTTGTAGTCAGGGAAAGAGCTGTTACTTCACTATAATCCCAAGAATCCTCATGCAACTAAGTTACGACATCCCAGCCCAAGCATTAAACTTTCCAAAGATGTTGATGCCATGTTCAATCCTCCAGTTGATTTTTGGGGTGCCAACATGATGAACATGATCTCAAGCTTTTCGGATTCTGAAATTGCCAGGATCACCTGATGAGTCTTTCCTGGGGCAGGGGACAGTGGTTCTTTTCCTTCCGAGCGCTTCTCATGTTAACATGAAAAGCCGAACTGCCGAAGCTGAGTCCAGACGTTTGATTCATGATGGTTTAATATGCGCTTCACCAATCTGTTTTGATTGTTTTTGTATTTTAATCGGCAAACCCTCCGCCAATGCCGAAGCTGAGTCCAAGACGTCCCTATCCCAAAAAGGACGATTGATTGGTCGATATCTCTTCCTCTGACACACCCGGTCCATGCAACTCTCGTCTGAATCCTTGTTCGCCTTCCACCTTCGCAACCCCATGCGTCGATTGAGTGCAGGCTGACTGATTCACTGTTTGACTCACAGTGCTCATGGGCCTGACGAGCCTGTATAACGACTATCGCGACGCGCAAGTCTATCATGGTCTTCAGTGGTCTTACAACTTCTTCTCGTGAACATGGCGATTCTATTCCCCAACTGATCCCCTTACAATTAGATGTGAGCTTCGTGTAACCATAACTACTTATTTTGCAATTTAACGTTGGTCCAAACTGAATGATCTGCTGGCTCTCGTCACTTGCCACTGGTTTCTCTTCTTCATTCAGCCCGTCACAGCTTTTGGAACCCTTCCGCTTGGATCGCGGCTCGACACGTGCATGGCGACGTGGGTGCCAGTTTCATGAGAATCTTTTGAAGGACTCGGTGTTGAAGAAACATGGATATTGGAACCGGACGACCTGGAAGACTATGAGAAAGACTATGTTGCCTGGTACTCGGTCACTAGATCACCTTTATGTCACCATTATATAATGATTATATATATACTCCGTGACTCTGTTTTTGAAAGGTGGCAGTGGAACTGGACCTCATACGGAGTGACCAAACCAGGTGTGTCCCTCATCTCCCAGGACACCCCTTCCCCCCATGGGCCCCATCAGAGTCAGGAGTCCCAAAAAGCGCAGAAGTTCGCGTACGTGGAGGCTCCATCTATCCGCCGTTCTTGAGTGCACTCAAAATAGCTTATACACCCTGGAAGACTAACATGGACCCTGAAAACCACTGGTTTGTAGAGGAAAACAATCTTCCAGGGGGCCATTGTCAGGGTCTATGTTAGTTTTCGGGAGTGTATACCGAAGCATTGGGTTGGAGAGACATCCACGGATGGGGTTGAAGATGTCCAAAGCGCCTTGGTCGAACATGGTTCCTGTCAATCAGGGACTGAAGGCGGAACCTCTTCCAAGTATATCCCAAAGTGAACCCCAATGTATTGAAATACCGAAACCCCTCGAAACCGTTTCTCATCGTGCTAGCACCACCAAATTAAAGCAAATGGTGTGATCACCTTGTAACTTCCTCGGTTCAGTTCAACTTCAGTTTTAGAATGCTTCTGGCAGCTCTGGCCACACGTGTCTTCTAAAGCAGAGCACTGGAAAAGAACAATTCTGTCACTCCCTCACTCTCCCTGAGGGGGCGCGGGGCGAGTAGGAAGTCCATGATTCATCAGAAGTCCAAGTAACGGCTGTGACGGTTTCCATGGCTTCGCTGGTTTCCATGGAACGGTGACGGTTTCAGCCCCATGCCCCACCTTGCCTTTACCAGAGTACTGGTCGGTAGGCGCTTTTCATGCCAAATGCCGGCAGCATGCCAGCTGCCAGTAGCGGCTCAAAGGATTTGGTCCTCTTTACATTGCGTCTTTAGACGCTACGAGTACCCCATGTTTTTCGGTGAAGTGATCCTGAAAAGACTGGTGCGCCAACGACGCGGGTTTGGCCTTGGTGCGCAGGTTGGCACATTCACGTTCAAAAAAGAAAGAAACTCCCGGAGAAACTGTGTTTTTGGTCTGACAAGTTCTGCAATGTCTTACAACAGAATTGGTGCGTCACGAGAACTCATCATTACAACCTCTTAACTCAAGAACTCCTATGCCCATCCATCCATCCAGACCAGTCACAGCCATGGTCCGGACTCATCCCTCCATCGCCCCCGTCTCGCGGTCGAGACGGCGCGCCGCGCAGAACACCCGCGCCGCACTGAAGCGAGGCGGGCGCCTTCTTGGCGTTCCGCTTTTCAGAGTAGGCTTGCTCCACCTGACTTCGGTCTGGTGGAGCAACAGCCAAATCGGTCGAGTCGACCGTGATCCTGTGTCAATCGGTGCAATCCTCTGGAGCGACGTACGACGAGTAGAGCCAGTTCTGGCTCTGGAGCCGGTTCGATTTTGGGGGAACAGAGCGGTTAACCCAACTTTACGCCTGTTCGTGTTCAGTAGGAAAACATAGGAAAACCAATCGCCAGGCACGAGAAGGTTAAAGGATATCCACTGACTGGTAGGCCATCAAGTAACTCAGGATGCTTCCAAAGTGCCTCGCTTGCCACTTGGTGCTCGTGTCAGGCTACTAGTAGAGGTAGCTGAACAGGAAACATGGTGGTTGTGATAGATTCGGACGATTTTCGTTTGCTTGGTGTCAATTGCTTGCCTTGGTGAGTGTTTGATGTTGTGTGCTTGGTTCTCTCTATTTGAGACTGATACCCAGATACATGCAGATGAAGTTGTAACCGCCGGCCGGAGGCTAAACAAATCAATCTTCTTGCATAAGGCTTCTTTCAAGTTCTGTTGGACGTCCTGAGGCGTTCCTTGCTTAGTTAGTCCTTGGCCACAGGTAGGGCAATGCAGTCACTTGTGTAGATAGGGGGTGCAAGGCAGGCAAGAAACCCAACGACACACCCCAACGGCGTTCGGGCGTTCGAGCGAGAGAGTGTAGATAGGGGGTGCAATCCAGGCGTCAATTAAGGTCAAAAGCTACAAAGTATATAAGTGCAAACAGGCCCATATCAGAAAATGCCTCATAGGGAGGAGAGCAGAAAACACACACCCCTGCAGCCCAGTTGACCTGTCGTGCATCGTACTCCTCGTTCTTCAAGTGCTTCACCTTGGCTGGTTGATTGGCCGACCGTGTTTTGTGGAATGGAAGAGGAACCATAACTTAATCTTCCAAGCCATTGATCACCCATGGCCAAAGAGTTCTGAACACCTTGACCGCTTTTTGGGCAGTTTCATGCCTTTAACATGCCTGCAACCCTAAACCAGAAATCAGAGTGCTTGCTTTTCCTCCTCGTGCACCGTCACGTTTACCTCACCGGAAAAGGAAGGCCGGTCCTGACCCTCCACGTCACAGGATGCAGAAGGCGACATCCAAACGGTGCGATTCCAGTGACTTCAACTGATGTTTCTTTGCATCTAAAAAAACCTCATATTGACTAATCATCACTTGATCATCACTTCATCCACATGAAGAAACCGGAAATCTTTCAGAATGCGATCAGTCAATATGATTCTGATTCAGAATGGATCGGGGTGCCATGATTCCAGTGAGTGATCTTCATCATGAGATGTCATGGAGTCCACCACACCCATTGAGTTCTCATGAGACTCGGAACGTGGAACACCCATTGAGTCACCCATTGAGTCACCCAGTGAGTTCCGGAGGTTCACCCATGGAGTCCCACTTCGAGATCAGTTGGATCCTCAGTCCGAGTTGAATCCACGGGCCGGAAAGAACCCTTCATGGGTCGGTTCATGATGTTTTCAGCCGGTACCACTGAGCTCGTCCTCTTCAGCTCTCGAGTTGTCCACATTCTTTTCACCACTGAGCTCGTGGACTGCTGTTTTCTTGGCCTCCTCGAGCAACTCTTGCTCCTGCACCGCCACGGAAAACCGCAGTGCGAGGCGAGGGGAGTACGAGGGGAGGACCCCAGGCTAAAGACCACGGCATCCGCTGCAGGTCTTTAGCCTTTATATAGGAAGGCTGGTCGAAGTGGTGTGATATCTCAGATCGTAAAAGAAGACTTCATTGAAAAATGAGGCCTACAAGGTGTCCCTGCTGCAGAACCTGAAACCTGCCCCGGAAGTGTTGGATACTGCTGCCACAATGTACTCACTCCAGAGACTTCACTTCGGTGGTCCTATACTGGGTACCAGTGGGGTTGGAAAGAGATGGAAAGAGTACGTCTGCTTGAACTCGATCATCACCAAACTTATCCCAACATCGCCACACCTCCGCTTGTAGAGGGCAGGCAGACATGGTTGAAAGAATGAAAAACGACATGCTACTCACGTGATTTCACATCGACGACTCGTTCTATTTTGTATCATTAAGATGTGGAGCCCCTCAACCAATGGGTAGACGGTAGACTGGTCTATGTTCCGTCTTCCAGGGAGTCGAACTGGGAGGTCTCCCTGTTTAGAATGCACATTTGGGTGAGTGGATCAGGAAGGCCAAAATGCCGGCACCACCCTCACCATCCCGATCTGTGCTGCCACCGCTCCTTTTCGCGCTTCGAGGCACGTGCGTGGAGCGCCTCCGGCCGTCCCCGAGTTGCCACTTCCGGGGGTGTGAGGACCAGGGAACCCCATCAGGATTGGCCTCATGAACTAAGATGGGGCCCAAGTGTCTAACAAACTGCGGAGGTCTAGCCGTGAGTTTTTTAAGATGCAAATTCACTCTACCGTACCACCATTGATCTGCTGAAGTCGTGAATTCAGTCGTGAATTCACTCATGTGTGCTGATCTACATACACTCGGAACCAGAAGTGGAGCGAGTTCACCAGAAGTTCTCGGTCCGAGAACTCGTCATGGTGAGTCTTTGGGGGAACGGACCTTGGATAGGCTTCTGAAGGCCATTGAACGACAGGTCCTTGCTTTCAACAGGTCTGGAAGAGAGGTCGCTTTGGTCATGATGTGGACGCAAACACGCTCACATCATTACAAAGTGGGTGACCTGGATAGGCTTCAACAAGCCAGAAAAGTACCTCCAAAACTCCGGAAGTGTTGGCACTAAAGCCTGCAAACATGATGCATCTTCTATGCCTTTTTATAGCTCCTTTCCTATGGTATACCTCTTCAATGGTGTTCCGCGAATCGAAAGGGTTCTGGGAACTGGTCTTCACTGGCCATCCATAGGCCCTTCCATCACTTCGAGCTGCAAGCTTGGTGAGATGGGAATGTCCTGGAGTCCGTATCTGCAGCATGAAGCAAATTCCGCAAAAGGTTGACAGGACCCAAATCATCTTTAAGTGAGTTTCCCTAGGCTCCAGGAAGAATAAACCACCACCTTAAATAGGTATTCATCCCTTCTATGTTTAAATCTTTTAGGTAAGTTGTTGGAATTCCAAAAGGCGACATTTTTCTCAACAAAGACCTGTGTAAAGTGGGGTGCTTTCACACCCCGCCCGCCCGTCCGACCAAGCGCGGCGCAGCACACCTTGCGCTCGGCGTCGGCCTCTCGCTCTTGCAGTTTGGCCGCCTGGAGGGTGGACAGTGGGCAGTCCCCGGTTTCGGGAAAAATGAAAAGGGGGGTACCGGGATAACTGGTAGTTCCAAATCCTTCGGAGTCGGAGTTGGTCAGTTGCACGCTGTTATCACGTGAGAATCCCAAAGTCATCCTCGAAGGACTTGCCATCCAACAAATTCCAACAAACATGGAAGTGGACAGGTGACCCCTGTTTCTAGAGGAGAATCGTCTTTCCAGTGGTCATGCCCTCCACTTCCATCCAGCACGTTGCCTGCCTTGAGCGCCTCCTTCAAGTTGGGCTGCGACGCCTGCTGGGATGGTGGTCAGAGTGGTGGGAGAAGGGCTCTTCCAGCAGGGTTAGTGGAGCACAGCACAACTAAACTTACCAACCTACACTGCCTGCCAGGATCAATCCAATAGGAGTCCTGGCTGGAGACCATTTGGAGTGCAGGGTACTTGGTACCTACATCTATCTATACCAACCAAAGTCCCTACATCCTAGCACATAAAGCAACTAACTGTAAATCCCAATCATCTGTGGCCTAAGTGACCCTTTCAATCCCTTTTTGTCATCAGAACAAATCTGAAAGATCCTCCTCTGCCGGAGGTCCTACCCCCCTTTTTCCGTCTCTGCTCCAATCAACTCGATCTCCATCAAACACACTCATTGACTTGTTGACCCGCCTCCACCCTGGGGGGGGGAAAAGGGGTCGACCAACGTGCCAATCCACTTTAGGCCCTGGAGCTACCGCTTCAGGAGCTCCGGAGGAGACCCACATCGTCCCACGTCTGAAGCCTTCAACTCCTCGCGCCGCTTCTTGGCCTCAGCCTGGGCAGAAACGAACGGGGTCGTCCTTGGGCCTGTGGAATGGGCAAACTCGCGACCTCGCCCTTTCAACTCGCTGCGCCCTCGCCCTTGTTCCCCCCACATCTTCGCCTCTTCAGCCTCCACCTCTTGCTTCGATGCTTCCGCCTTCGCGAGCTCCGACCTCGCCCGGTGGCCGTCGCTTCGATGCTTCGTGTGGGCGGCGTGGGCGGCGTGAAGGTGGCGGCGTCACGGAACGGTGGCGGCTCGGTGAACGGTGGCGGCTCGGTGAGGTGCGGGTCGAGTGCGGCCGGTGGCCATTGGGGAACAGTGGCGCCAGGGTCCAAAGAAACGGTGACGAAGAACACATTTGAGTTGAAGCAAATTAATTCAGAAGTTCGCGCAAAGGTGATGCTATGGATTGCTGTGGAACCCCAATTCCAACAGTAAAGCTGTTTGGTGGAAAAATGGGGAAAACATATGTGAATTAACAGAACACACAAGTAATAGAAAAACAAGAACATGAGACAACACGCTTATTGTATCTTCTTGTTATTTTTTAGTTATATATATATATATTTATTTATTCAAACGTAATAACCATCTTTTGGCTGGGCTCTCCGAGCTCCCGGGAGCTCCGCTCGGCGCTCACGTGCTCTTCCTCGGTCTCTGCCTCATTGTGCCTCAGAGAAAAGACGTGGGGAATGAGGCAGAGAACAAGAAAATATTTTGAATATGTACCTGATAGCGATGGCCTCCAACCTAGTAGCAATTTAAGAAATAAATGTAGACAACATGTAAACTTCCTGCCAATTCCAAGAAGTTGTTCTGTCAATTCACTAGAGTTTTCTGTATGTCTAACCCAAACCATCTGCCACCCATCCTGCAAATTGGAGATATGTTTTTCTTGGGGTCTGAAATGGATCACTCAAACTGACAAGTGATAGCAGTTGTGGAAACAGTCAGTGAAATTGGAATGGGAATGAAATAGATCACCCTACTACTGCCACTGACATTAACATCTTTATCACTCCTTCTGCTTCTATTGCGACGGCTTTGGGAAAACTATTGGACCTCAGAGTTTCCTCCTGGGGGAACCCTCAGTTGGACTCCGAAGAGAGAACGGGTGAAAAATCAAAGTACCGTACCAAGAAGCTAAAGTCCGCCGTCGGTGAAAAAATCCTCAACCTCCAGTGAACACTGAACATGAATGGAGTAAACTATTTGGAGACGTGCAGCTCCCAAATGGGGGCCTTTAGCTGGTCCAAATGTCGGAGAACCCCCCCAGCTCGACCCTGAGAATAGAACGAGTAGATCGAAACATATACTATATACAAACAATTGAACAACTCCTTGGCAAGGTTGGGTATTTCACCCATGTTGCATTCAGATGTCAATCAAGATCTTCGGCTGTCTAAGCCTTCTCCAATGCAAACTGCCACGACCAGTCACTCACAACTTGAAACAATGTCTTAAGAAACAAGAACGCTTGTTCAGTTCCTCCTCTACGAACGGTCTGACAAAGGAACAGAACAGTCCCTCCTCCATGTTCAGTTCCTAGTCATCACAGTCTGGAATTCTTCCATTCTGAAATGTTCAGTTAAGTCTTCCTCTGTTTCTTCCTCTGCCTTTTCGTTTAACCATTTAACTCCATTGGGCCGTCCGGCTCCTTCACCTGCACCTCCACCTGGCTTTCAGCCTCTGCTTTCGCCAGCGTGGCCGCCGCCAAACGCCCCAAGGCCTCAAAACACCGGCGTCAGCATCAGCTCAGACTTCGTTTGGGGCACCAAGGTGCACCAAGGTACAGGCCCCAAGTCACCCAAGTCAGCCGAGAGTTTGTTTTGACATAGCCTAAAGAGAGATCTGAGATGAGGTCTTAAATGCAATGAGAAGATGTGGGACTTTGCTACTCCTGGCGGCACCGCTTGGAGGGGAGACCGCTCGGTGAGTCCCCACTGAAGCTCAAACCTGTGCCGTGCTATGTGACATAAACCAAAACGATCGGGAGACGGATGTTCTCCGGTGCAATGGTAAGGGATTGTGAAAACTACGTATACCAGAATTGGGCCAAGTCCCATCGTTTCCAGTCCGAAAGCCGGATCTGAGGACCTTCCATGGCGGATGGGTCACCTTTGAGGTTGGATGTTCGAGCCATCCATTCATCATCCGGCGCTTGGACCCTTGGCGGGAGCCACCAGATTTGAATGACCTAAGATGTATCAAGATCCCCCTGCGCCACCTTGGTGACAGCGCGCTGGCGCCCGCCCTGCCCTAGCTTACAAGCTCCGTCAGAACAGGGGCATTCGGTGGCCCAAAGAAAGGAGGCGCTTGGCGCTGGGGATCTGGTGCTTGGAGACAGCTGTCCGACAGCGGAACCGAGACACACACGCACACACGCAAGTTGGTGAGTGGAGGAACGTGGAGATCGGGCGCTGGAGCGACCCAAACCCTTCCAACATGCAAACAGGACATGGAACTGCTACAGTAGAAGCAAAGTATAGCATAATAATATGTGAGAAGGTATATAAGAGTACGTACAAGGCCCCTGGCCTTGGAAGGTTCTCACGGGACCCCAAAGGCGGCACACTTGGATGTGGAGTAAGATCGAATAGCAACGCTTGTTGGAGATGTGTACCTTCCCCTTTTGCTCCCAGAAAAAACACTCATATGGTCTCAGAAACCGATAGAACAATAGGAACATAGATGTAAAAGCAGTCCAAGACATTCTTCAAGTGGAACAGAATCTAGGCGTTTCTGAGCTCCTTTCTGTTTGGACATCACTTTGTACCGCCGATCCGCTCACAGCTCGCCCATGCTCGGCGTCGCCTTCCGGTGTTGCAGGCCCGCCTTCCCTTGCGCCTGCCGGCGAGACGGGCAGGGGAGCCGGTCCAAGTGGGACCCAAACAGACTATAGTGACTCAAAAAGGAAGAAAGCCAGCTACCATCGGATCCAGCACGGGTGTCCATGGTACCCAACACTCCACGGTGCAGATGTCATTCGAACTCGGTCGGTGTCGACACCGAGACACCGGTGATCGTCTGGCCGCCCACCGCGGGGTGAAACCCATGCGTGCTAGGCTCTGCCAGACGTTTCTGGCCCACGCGTGCAACAAGTGCAGCTTCTCGCCAAGCAAAAAGGGGGCGCACACATTCCCATGAAAGAACAAATGCTCCACATGGCCGATACACAGAGACTCACAAACATGGAAGTGGAAAACCCTGAGTTTGTTGGGTTGAGGATGGAATCTTCCAAAAAACGATCCCTGTCACTTCCATGCGATATGTTTGTGACAAAGCGTACCTCGGCCCCGTCCAACATGTCCGAATGGCACCAACATTTGCCCATCTCTCATGCTCACAGCGCGATGGGGATCGGCCAACCGTGTCCGCGCCTCTTTGCTGCCTTTCACCGTTTGCCACACTTTGGGCAGCTGTCGGAACGCGCTCTTCACCGAGCTTTGGACGGCCTTGACCTGTCGTGGAACCGCAGCTTTGGAGTTCTCGCACGAGCGAAAGAAGGCGAAACCTTCAGTGGTTAGAAGTAGGTCAAAAAGGCAGAGTGTTGGTGTCCCAAAGCGACACAAAACCAAGGTAGGCAAGAGTGTTACAGAGTGCTTTGATTTTTTCAAGGTCCAGAGTCCAGTGAAGAATGAAGAACTCTCCTACCTCAACCACTCCAGATCTCAAGCGGTGAAAGCTGCTTGAGACATACCATATACCATATACCGACCTCTTAGCAATAATACTTTGGAATCAAATAGGTTCGAACTGGTTCAGGCAGTAGAGGGATCCAAATGGCACTAGTATGTTTGGATCACGAATCCCTCTGATGTGCAAACTGACTCCCAACCCGTTTCCCTGGAAAACGCAGGTTGACCTTCTCTTTACCTGGTCGCTTCGACCAGTGGAGAGGCCAATCCCCTCAAAAAGGCCGGGGGGTAGGCAAACGGCTGACTGGTAGGCTTGTCCATGGCCAGAACTGCCAGAACATAGTACAAAACCAACACTCCTTGGGGATCACAAACTTTCTGGACCTGCGGTCTGGGGGATGGTCATACCCTGGCTATGTGATGTTGGTCGCTACATGTCGCTACATTTCATGTTCTGACTGCTCACTTCTCCTTTACTTCACTAGTTCCATCATGTTCCATCTTCGCCAGATCAAGAGTCGCACGTACCATAGCCGCCTGCTCCATCTTCACAGGGCGCTTCTGTGTCTTCTGTAGAGACTCGGCAAACCACATGCCGGCCTGATGGTTTTCGGATGATCTGTTCAACCGCTTTATGCACTCTGGTGTGGATGCGGGGCCTCAGCCCCCTCTCCAATCGTCTGTTTTTCGGAGCTGGCATTGTGGATGGACGTGGAGATGTCTTCAGGTTTGTTGAAAGTTGAAATCCCAAGGCATATCAAAGCGCATATTACAAGTAGTTCTTGTGACCTTCATCCGAAGAAATAACTTGTAGCAAAGAATTTGCGAAGGAACATAAAAGCTTGAGTGGTGGCAGGGCATGATGCATTGAATGTGACTTGTGTATCTGCCCGTATGCCATTTTGGCGAAAAGGCATTGTGTCCACCGGTGTCACCATGTTGGAAGCCCTGTTGGGGCTGACGTTCGTGCTGGGACTTTTGGTGGGCATTTGCTGCGCTCGCTGTTGTCCAGTGTTGGCATCTACGTCTTCTCAGGTGACCACGGTGGATTCCCTAGTGCTTGGTGCCGAAGCATTTTCTGCACTGCATGGCTCTCAGCATTCTGCCCACAGCGACTGAACTGGGAACACTGACGTCGTTGCCAGAAGTGAGGGCATGGTCAGGAACTCCAGAGGCCACATGGAAGGCAGCTAGTACTCATTTGGGAGAAGTCACGACTTTGAGATTGTTGGCTCTGACCCCAATGGATGTTTACCGGACTATGCTGGATAGAGTGCGGATTCCCGTCACTCGCCCTGCTGGTGCCACTACAGATCCCCCTCCTCGTGCTGCAACGGCGGTGGAGGTCATCCAATTGGCGGTGATGTGGAGGGTGGCTAGGTTGGCATTCTCATTGCCTGACATTGACATCTTGGCACCCTATCCAGCAGGCAATGCACAGATTCAGGCGGCTGGTGCACCTCTACAAGCAGTGGCCATTCCAAAGGTTCAGAAGGTGAAGATGTCAGTTCATTTGGATCAGATGGATGAGAACGAAGTAGAGCTGGTATCTAGGACTGTGCTTGAAGAATGCTACAGATGTTACAGAGAAACCACAGGATCAGATCCCCTTCCTGAAGCAGACCCAACTATGGAACAGGTGTCAGCGATGCGTGCCAAAGTGATTGATCGACAGGAATCACCTTACGCTGACTTTTCAGTGCTGGTTCCTTACGGGAAGGAGTTGCAGAAGAACATGAAGGCTCGGTCGTGGTTGCTTCAAGAGGATGGGTCGTTCAAGGGCATCGACATACCTGGCCCACCAGGGTACTCTGCATGGTTGAAGTGCTGGAGAGTGTATCGAACGGTTCTACTAATGCTGAGACATGCTCCTGTACCACCTCATGGTCCAAAGCCTGTTGTCACCATTGCTTGCTTGGAAGAGTATGCAGACAAGATTTCGGAGCTATGTGCTGAATTTCCTGAGTGCTGGCATCTGGTGTGGCAAGCAGAAGACAGGTGTCGTCGTGATGAGCTGGAGCGGATTCGCAGATCCTTGGTTCGTGCACGAATTGAGGGAAACCTTCCGATGAACATCAGGTTTGATCCTGATCAGCCATGGGTTGGTGTGTTCACATATGCTGCTCGTGATGGTGAGTACTGGGCAAAGCATGTCACCAGACCTGCCCAGACCTTTCTGGCCCGAGGTGGGTCAGGAAGGAAGATGACACGTGAAGCGGCTGAGAGTGTCATGCTGGACAAGGACATGGTCAAGATCACTAGTGGTGGAGGTGCTGGTGTTCAAGGTGAGCCTGGGCAGGGTCAGTCGCGAAATGCGCGAAAACGTCGTGCCGAAAAGCAGCGACAGGATGAGGCGAGGAAGTGGAGCTCTACGGCATCCAAAGGAGGTTGGGAGAACTCTGCGTCCAGTTGGGCGCCAAAGGGTTCAGGAAAGACACAGTCCCAGAAAGGCATGCATCCCAGAAAGTATGGCCAAACCTTCGTGACCACACGCGAAGGGGATGAGATCTGCTACAAGTTCAGCAAAGGTGCACCTGGGGCATGCAGCGAACCATGTGTCGACGGCAGGACTCATTGCTGTCAGTATTGCCTGGGTGCTCATCCCAACCAGCAGTGCCAGAAGAGAGATGGCAAGAGCAAAGGTGGGGGGGGTAAGAACCCCAGCAAGTGACAGGAGGAGGAGATCGGGTGTTCGGTCTGGTCTGAAGATGATGAGGCTGAGCTCACGGTTGTGCATGACAATGACTATAGTTTGAATTCGAGTCAATGTGAAGAAGTTGATGTACAGCAGCAAGCAACTGACCAGCAGTTGCCCAGGCGGTTTCGATTTGGTGAATTCTTTGCAGGCATGGGTGGATTGTCCACAGCGATGATGTTTGTTCTGGAATCTTGGATCTCTTTGGGCAGCATTGAGAGAATGGATGCCTATGAGGACAGTTGGAACATTCTGAATGATGGCGACTTTGCGAAGAGCAAGGAGCTTTGTCAAACTGGTCTCGATCATGGCCACTTTGCCCCGCCATGTCGTACATTGACTGAAGCCCGCAGAACAGATGAGCATGGTGCCGTAGCAATCATGAGATCGCCCATGTGGCCTGAAGGTTGGGGCCACCCAGACGCCATCGAAGCGAATGAGATTGTCACTCGCATGGTGGTCCTATGCTTGCTGTTGCACAACTCAGGCAAGACGTTTGCGATTGAGAACCCGTTCAACTCGTTCCTATGGTTGCTCAAGGACATGCAGAAGCTCATGAAGTTGAGGACTGCAGAGCTGGTGCTGTTGCACCAGTGTTGCTATGGGGCCCAAACTATGAAGCCCACTGGACTGCTGACAACGGCTCCTTGGATGAAGATGGTGAGGAGTTTATGTCACGAAGTGAGGGCACATCGCCATTTGACAGAGGGGCTTGTTGGCAAGGTCTGGAGCTATCTGGATGAAAGGGTAGTGTGGAGGTCTTCGTTGGCTGCGGAGTACCCGTGTGGCTTATGCATGGCATGGGCTGAGGCTTTGAAGAAGTGGCTGTTTTCAGATGAGGGCATTCACTGGATGAGACGAAATAGTTTGATTTTGGTTGGCAAATGGGGAAACCAACTTGTCAGAGCAGACTTGGTCGAGAAGCAGGCGAACGAGCACAAACCAGTTGCGAGCTTGGCATCGGTCAGGTCTGAGGAGAACAACAAGTGCATTGGTGGCTTGAGGAGTGCAAGGGCATCAGTCATGAAGTCCAGGTCGCTTCGGAAGCTGGGCAAAAGAGTGAGGAAGCTGTTTGAGTCCAAGCGAGATGATCGAGTTTTGGCTATGTGGGAGGAAAATGTTCAGAATGGATTGCCTGAAGAATGGATCAACGAGAACAGGTATGCCCTAGCACAGGAGTTTGGTGTGCAAATCAACGTGGGTGGCGGATTCCAGTCTTCACTTTGGAAGGCATTGCTGGTGGAGGCTGAAGATTGTGAAGCTCAGTATTTACCAGCTTGGATGGCTGAAGGGTTTCCGCTGGGAATCCACAAGCCGATCACTCCATCAGGGGCGTTTCCACTGGTGGAAGGTGATACTTCAGCAGTGGAGGCTTCGCGGGCAGAAGGCAGAGTCATGCATGATCTTGATGGCAGTCATTCAAACTACATCAGTTTTGAGGAGGCTGGTATGAAGGGCCAAGACATCTTGGACGACATGGTGCGCAAGGGTCGTGCAGTTTGCTACTACTCTTGGGATGATGTTGTCAAGACACTGGGGCCTGAAGCAAGACTCACAAAGCTTGGTTGCATCGTGAAGCTGCGTCCGGACCACACAGAAAAAGTGAGGATCATAGTTGATTCAAGACGCAGTGGAGTCAACGGGCTCACTTCAATACATGAACGCGTGGTTCTGCCTCGAGTTACAGACATCACTAGCACGTGGTATCGGTTGACCAGATCGCATGAAGGTTCCAAGGTGATCGAGATGATGACTGCGGATTTCAAGGATGCCTTCAATATGCTGCAGTTGGCTGATGCTGAGAAACCAATGGTCATCGTGAAAGGCATGGATGGCGAACAGGGTCAACCCAGGTACTATGCGTTTCAAGTAGTCGTTTTTGGACTGGCACCTGGCCCATTGCTCTGGGGGCGAGTTGCAGCAGCGGCCATGAGATTGGCGCAGGCGCTGATGTTGCCTGACGAAGCTGAGGTGGCAACGTTTGTGGATGACCCACTCATACTGGCAGCAGGCGCTACCAAAAGAGAGCGCACGTGGTCGTTTGCAAAATTTGTGGTTCTCTGGTTGGTGCTTGGATTGGAACTTTCATGGCCCAAGGCACACCGTGGCTTTGAGGTGGACTGGATTGGGTTTAGTTTGAGCATTTCCAACAAGCAGGGCGCTTGGGCCATTCAGGTGCAGCTCATGGAAGCGAAGAAGGAGAAGCTGAAGGCTGTGGTTGACGATTTGATCAGTCACAAAGGAGTGCTACCGTTGGCCAAGCTTCAGTTGGCAGTGGGCATCTTGGGCTGGATCACATCATCTATGCCCATGGCAAGACCTTTTGTGGCCATGATATGGGCAGCCATCTTGCAGCATGACAGACCTAAGGCTTCCACAACCAGGGTGAGAAAGGGGCTGGTCTTTGTGAAGCAGGTTCGCCACGCACTTCAGTGGTTGCAATCCTTGTTGTGTGAGTTCGATGCTCGTCACGGGGGGCTGAAGCGCACAGTGAGATGGCGACCATTTGCACCAGTTGTAGTTATTCAGACAGATGCATGTCCAACGGGATTAGGAGGTTTCATCATGGTCCACAACAAAATTGTTGCATATTGGTTTGACAAAGTCACCAATGAGGATCAAGAGGTTTTAGGTGTCGTTTACGGGGATCCCTCTTTTCAAAGCGAGTTAGAACTTTTAGCTGTCCTTGTTTCGCTTCGGGTCTTCAAGCGATGGCTCAGTACAGATTCAGGGCCTGCTGGAATCTTGTTGAAGACTGACAACACTGCCACGCTTCAGGCTGCAATGGAATTGCGTGGCAAGTCAGTGCTCATGGCACAGCTAGCTTCAGAAGTGGCTTTAGAAATTGAAGCCATACAGGTCCCATACCTATGGGGCCAGCATGTGGCAGGGATCCTCAATGACATTGCTGACAAACTTAGTCGTATGCATGAACACTCAGCGGTGCCAGCTGAGCTCAGTGACGCGGAATGTGTCACAGGGCCACTGCGCACGGTAGACTTTTACAAGTCATGGCAGCTCACCAGATAAAATTTGAGGTGGTCAGGGTTGCGTGATGTGCGTGCCGTGCCCATGAGTTGTGGCCATGTGCAAGCCATTGTGCACCTGATTGTCTTGCCTACGGGCTCACACAGGTCATGATAGCTGTGGAGCAGTTCCCTGGCCTAGGACGGCGGTGCCTGGCAGACACAGTTTGGGAAACTCAGGCGACAAGTCATATAGGAGATAAGTAGGCCTGAGTGACCTTGATAATTGGAATTGAACTAGGTAAGTAAATCGGTTGTGAGCTTGCGGGTGAGTTGATTTGGACTGGTAAGCGGATTGCGAGTTGTGTTGCCTTGTGATTTTGTGTTGTGTTGATTGTTGTGTTTCTTGTCTTTCGTTGCGTTTCTGTTTGTTTGCTGTGCTTGTTTCCCTTTGCTTTGGCTTGGAAACGTAAACTGTTGTGACGCGTTTCGGTGAGGCGAAGGGTGATTGAGGCGATTGGAATTTGAATGAATTTGAACTGATTTGGATGGGTTTGGTTGGATTTTGATGGGAGTCTGAGTTGTGATTACGTTCATGTTGTGGACTTGGTTGATTGCCCGACCACTGAGGTCAGAACATCTACGGAATCATTGGAGGATTGGAGGACTTGCCTGGGCTGGGACAGTGCCAGCTTGGATTGCTAGGCATTGTCTTAAATGCTCAGGATATTCATGATATAACTGGTAAGTAGCATTAAAAGCAGAATTCAAGCGTGAGCTCATGGACGAGTGGAAGTTTCGCTATATTTAGGTTCAATAGCAAAAATGTGGGCAGCGATTAGATGGGTTAAGGGCCGGAAACAGAAGGGTCCTTATGTGAGAAGAGAATTGCCTGTGGAACCTGAAGGGCTGCCACCTGGGGTAGTTGCGGCCAGAGCTGAGTTGCGCAATGGCTTGTGTCGTGGGTGTGCCGTTGTTCCGAGGGGGACCGGTGTACCTGCTGACCATTTTGCATTGCCTTCTAGCTCTTCAAGTTCTGCTGCTGTGGTCACTTCCAGCGTCAGGGCCCCTGAGACACCTGGGGCGCGATCCGCTGCACCAGGCACACCAGGGCTTCGGATGTTGGAAACAACAACTGAAGCGGGTGAGTCCAGGATTAGGACACGTCCCATGGGCCCATGGATTGCCAATCCTGAACAGGAAAGGTTGGCACGTGGGTCAGCAAGGCTCGCTGTGGACATTGCTGGCTCTAGTGATAGGACAAATCAAGCGGTGAGCAACTTCAAAGACTTGATCTATGCGCCTTCCACCTCTGCTTCCAAGGAAGCGCTGTTTGGGTTGTGGTCCAGAATTTGCAAACGAAGAGGAGTAGAGCCGCTGCCTTTGACACCTGAAATGATCGTTTGTAACTCTGCCATTTTGAGAGAGGCAGGGTACAAGAGCTTGATGGCATATGTGCATGAGGCACGTGACAGGCACTCCAGGGCTGGCTTCCCTTGGACGGCGCAGCATCAGAGTGCTCTATGCGATGCCAAGAGAGCGAGCAAACGAGCACAGGGTGAGGCCAAACGCGCTGAAGAGATTCGTGAGGAATGGTGGGCTTGGCTGATCAACGCGTATGGGCTGTATCCTTTCCAGGAAGGTGCAAACGAAGATGCGCCCAAGGATGCGGTGGACATGATGATCATTGGCCATCATTTCCTTCTTCGTGAGGTTGAGTTGAGCTCTATCTTCTTAGATCATTGGTGCATTCGGATTGATATCCATGCCCAAACTGTAGGTTTGTTTTTGCCGGTGTCCAAGACTGACCCAGGTGGTCAAGGAGTTTTAAGGACCTTAGGATGCATTTGCAAAGCGACCAGAGACGTGCTTTGTCCTTATCATGCTATGAATCGAGTCATCGGGCTTCAACTGCGCCGAACTCGCTTTGAGAACCTGGATGATGTCCCTTTGGCATGGCTACCACTTTTTGGCCAGAAGGGTGATTTCAATGCACCGGTGTCGAAGGTTGCCTTTGTCAGAGAACTGCAGCGTCTTGCCTATCTCATTCTTGTGGGTTATCCACAAAGACTGAGCATGGTGCCGGATGAAGTCACTGGCCACTCTTTGAGGAGGAGTGGAATCAAGGCCTTGGCCAGGAAGGGAGTTTCTTTCACGGCAGTACAATGGTTGGCCCGACACAGCTCCAGCGTCACCATGCTGTACATGGAGGAAGCTTATGAAGAATCACCTGAAAGGCAGAGAACAATGTTGGATGCGAGATCAATTGGTGAAATGCTCACTGAATTGGTTGGCAAGCAGGAGACCATGGAGAATGCTATGAACCGAGTTGAAGCTGACCTGAGAGGCAGGTTAGAAATGCTTAATTCAAACCAGCACATTTTACATGATCGTCAGCTGTTGCGTTTTGAGATGCGTAGGGCCATGATTCCACAAGGGGTCATAAACTTGGACCGCCAATGCTTGCATGTGGTGAAGGTTTCAACATGCTTTGATGTGGATCCCACACGTTGGACAACGAAGTGTGGGTGGAGCTGGCTTAGGGCAAGTTCTAGTGCGCAACCGATTTTTGATGATGTAGAATTTGAGATGTGCGAAGCACAGCAATGCAATAAGTGTTTCAATTTGCAGTAACAGTGCTTGGTTAACAATTCAGCAGAAAAGGGAAGGTGAGAGGAAGTTGTAGATGTGGTCTGTGTTGCTTCTTGAGGTAAGAATGCGACATTCTGCTTCGTGACATGTGTCTCTAGGGCAGGGACCATGGTCATGAATCATGGTGGCATCACTTGAAAGGAACAGCAGGCAAAGAAGCACAACTTCCACCACCTTACGAGGAAAAGAGGCGCGTACCGAGGCCTTGGGTGAACTTGCAGGGTGGTTGGGTGGGGGCACTTGAGCTGATTGTTATGGAATAGAACTACAGAACTGCGAACTTAAGTCGATCCGCCAAAAAAGAAAACTCGAACGATCTTGAATGGTTGATGGGGCACATCCTCAACCCAGCAGTTTGGCCTGACTCCCGATCCGTTTCCCTGGAAGATCAAGCACCCTTTTCCACCTGTTCCATCTGTAGATGGCGACATCCCCTCCCCCCAAAAGAAATAAAGCTAATCCACGACATCCTCAGTAGGGATGGCTGGTGTCGGGGTACATCCAACGACCCATCCAACGACCCCCCCACCGACCCGTCGTCGATCCCTCGGCCTCAACGAAATTCTGCACCGCCTGAAGAACCTCGGCAGAAAAAGAGGCCTCCAAGCCTGAAGGACCCTCTGTGTATAGGAAGAGATTTGGCCTATTCGCAGGGCCCAGTGGACGATGATGGTTCAGTTGCAGGCCTTGTTCATAAATAACTAATTATATAGTGATAATTGCTTACTGACTGCTACAGGCAAGTACTAGGACAGACCCAATGTTTATAGTGGAAGAGAAGTGGAGAAGTTTCCGAGAAGACGATCTCTGGCCCCACGATGAATCCAGAGTTGAGAGGCTTGGTATGGCTTGGTATGGCTTGGTGGTTATTGTGAATATACTCCTTCAACACTTTAATCATCTTTTTCTCGCCAAAGGACTTCACCCAAAGGCGGAGTCAACATTTCGGAAGTCAAGCCTAAACCCACTGAGCCCCACTGGGGTGGTTTTAGGGACACCCCATAGTTCACCTCTGATGTGCTTGATGGAACCCCCAGGTTTTTGTGGGATGGGTACGTCCCGTTCCACGGGTCCGGATATCAAACAATGAAAACTCAAGTCGGTGTATCATCGGCGTGCCCTTTCTGGCTTTGTGGATGACCTTGGGGGTTTTCACTTTTTGCCTTAGCTCGCCATAGACTTGCGGCAAACAAACGCAGGCGAGGCGCTGCTTCCCGAGAGGTCTCGGCACGTTGCTGCGCCTTCAACGTGCAAATCTGTGCCCATTTGCTCAGTGTTGATCTACGAGTCGTTCCTATTGAAGCTATTCGTGGTAGGTAGCAATACACTGAAAACCTGATCAAGGACGAAAATATCTTTCTGGGTCGGTGTCGACAAGACAAGTCCCGCTCAATTGGTACCCATTGTCATCCATTGTCCATTGACTTGCTGAGGGAGACAACTATTTTGATAATCTCAGAAAAAAAACTGTGCGAAATACGACTTTCAAGAAATTACGACTTTCAGGGCTACACAAAATTAGGAAAACACATCTTCATTGATACGTATATAGTCATAGTCCATGCCTGCCCAAGGTTTGATATATGATACAATTGCAAATCAACCAGTCTGCAGAACCTCCAAAGTCATGAAGCTCCTGTTTGGCTGATCCAACTCGAGTGAAGACCAAAATGCAAACGTTCTAAACAATTAACAAATTGGCCACCCCCGCAAATGGATGCTGTTGCTGTGCCTAGGTCTAGGTACATCTCGGTTTTCCGAGTCCCTCAATTCCAACGGTCTGGGTTGTGTTCATCGGTTATGAAAGCTCAGACCGTGGTCAAAATAGAGCTCTTAAAACACTTTCCATGGGAGTTTAATCGATTTTGTGACCTTCCATCTTCAGGGAAATACACGGCGCCCCATACAGAACCTGGATTCCATTCGCACCATGGCACTCTTCAGTGGATCTTCAATGGGATCCTGAGATCTTTCTATCCAGGGAAGATGAAAAGAGAAAAGCACCAATCACCTACCCATCACCCCGTCTTCACTGCTTCACCTCATCCTCATCAAATCCTGATGCAAAAAAATAAAACAACCTCCGCTTCCCGGTCTGCCCGTCTCCTCGCGCGCCTTGGTCACCAGCTGCTCCAGCCGATGTCGATCCCTTTCTCGACCTGGCGGTGAGCGGCGTGGTCAGCGGCGCGGTAGAGCCGAGGGAAAAGAGGTCGGTGACGATCAGCTCTTCCGGTGGATGAATCACCACGACCCCCCACAGCCTGGACAGGTGCCCTCTGACTCAGTGGACAACCACCTGTTTGTAGAGGAGCATAGTCCTCCAACGGGCCATTTTCCACTTCCATGTTGGTTTGGTGAGTCAGAGATTTATAAAAATTTTTGTATGTTTTAAAAAGCATGTTTAGATCCGGGGAGGTGTGGATGAAGTTCAACAGGAAGAGGATCGCATTCTCAAGTATCGTTTGGAGGATCCATTACTTTTCTAAGGTGCTGGTGCACTTGCCAAACAAACCTAGCAAGAGCTTGGAATTCGGGTGCAGTAGGGAACATGTCCATCATTAGCCAATGACCCCGTAGGAAATGATGGACAAAAGCACTCTTTTCGCTTGTTCGGCGCGCCCGACAGATCTAGTGGACCAAAGGATCAGAAATACAGTACCGACAGGTACTCTCCGAGTCATTCACGAAAGTGGATGGAAGTGGAGTTCACTAGCTGTTTGTGAGGAAACATACCTGGTCTTGGACCATGGGTCCATGCTGACCAGGTATGTTTCCTCACAAACACCCCACCATGCTTACTTCAGGGAGTGGGAGTATAGAAAGAATTCTGACAACAATGGGGGTGACACTGCGGTATCCGTCGCCATCCAGCAAGCATTGCTTTCAGGTGTTCAGCTTGCTGAGTGCTGTGTTCTACATGTCCAAACCGGTCCGAACCAACTTGGATTTGCTTGTTTGGGACCTGGAAAAAAAGACAAACATTTCCCCCAGGTTTCGGGATTTACCCATAAGGGAATATAAAGAATCACCACCTTAAGCAAAACCAGGTATATACAAGAAGAATAGTTGGATTTGTTAGGTTGATATGCTGATCCTCCGACTCACTCACATCAAAGTGGATGAAAATGGTTGTAGGCTCTGTGAATAACGTCTTGTCAACAACTTCTCCTCGATCCAAGTGACTCCAGGTGCTCTTTTTCATATGTTCTTTGTTTGAGTGAAAGACTCCGCTGCTCCGCCCCCACCATGGTCCCTCTGCTTCGTCATTGTGGTCCCGGTGTGCCACGCGCTGCCCCGCGTGCGACCGCTAAAAACGAAGTATCACCGGTCTGACCGATTCCTGTCACTGCTGCGTCATGCAACTGTTGCGTCTGTGTGACCTGTTTCTCTAGTGCCCAAGTATCACATCTATGCATGTGTCACCAGCGCCCGTTGCAGTCCCCATGCCGATCAAATTCTAGAGCATTCACCTTCGACTAGTGAGGCGTACCAACATGCAAATTACTGAATGGATCTGAATGGGATGATTTTGCTGTGAGCGCCCGCAAAAAACAGTGTCTGCTTGACAGTCCCTAAAGAAGTTCTGTGAAACCATAGCTCGCCTGGCTCAATCTTCACCAAGTTCTCCTCTGTGGTCTCGAACTCTTTCTGGCAGCTTCTCCCGCTTCCCCGGCTCCACCCGACGAACGAAAAGCTGCCGTGACGCAGAGTGGACGAACCCTGAGGGGAATCATCTGGACCCATCCGGAACGGTGCGATCAAACTGGTTTTTTCGTTTACCGTTAAGTGGTCGGATTGCCAAATAACGGTAAAAGCCTAAAGCAATGTTACAACCAGCTTCAAGACAAGAGCCAAAAGCCCTTAAAGCCCTACGCAAGCTACAAAATCAGCTTTGAGCTCACAAGATTCTCACACATGAAAACAGTCGAACCCATCTTCGTCGCTTCTTAAAAGCCATATCAGATCACATCTGACCAGGGACAAGTGAGAGGATGTCTACTGCAAAATGGCAAGCACACACACCGGAACAAAGGCACTGGCCTCTCTGAAACTGTTGTTGTCCATGGCGTTCTTCAGCTTGTCCAAGGCTTTCAAGGCCTTTTTCAGCCTGCCACGCAGGTTGAACAGAGGTTGGGTCACTTCTGTCGGCCCTGCAGCGCTAGCAGGTAAGGTGCATTGATCGGCGAGCAGGCAGGTAAGCAACATGCCAGCTCGCCCCACATCCTGTGGCCAGCATTTTTTTTGTGAGTTCCCCTTCACAAAAAGGACACCCTCATCAGCATCCACCAACTCTTAAGGGCACCACGCTGCATTTCTGGACACCGGCTTGAAACGAGATGAAAGCAGGGGTGAAAGGGGGCCTAGGCAAGAACCGCCGCGAAAACGTGGCCCTCCTACACTACCATAGATGGGACAGAACGTGTTCCTTCCCCAAAAAATGCAACCCCGATACGGTATGCGTCCAAGAGCTGGTCCCACGGCACAGGACCACTGGATTAGTGGATGTTTCAACGTCAATATATGAGGGATTTGACATCCAGTTCATATCCATTGATTCAAATGAATATCCAAGGCTTATCATCCAGTTCATATCCAACAAAAGAGCCTTATCCATGAATAAAGCCTTCCAAACAGGCGGCAAAGCTGCCAAAAGATACCCGGTGCCGCATCGGCCTATCGGGTGCCGCATCGGCCGCACCATCGCCTGGAATCTGTTTGAAGACAAGAACATGGGCGCCTAATGCGGGTATCGTGTGATACAACGAGAAGAAGTAGTTGAAGAAGTACTTGAAGATACAACGAATTACAAGGCAAATGAAAAGCATCAAGCAGCATCAAGCAACTGCACTTAGACTGAGCAATCCGAACTGATCCATCGCCTCTTTTCAACCAAAAACGAACGTACTTGCGCGCCTGCTGCACAGCCGCGAGCATCCACCAAGTCGAGTTGTTTCGACGCCTCTGTCAGCGCCTCACAGACACGGTTTGATTGGAACAAGCAAAACAAGGACGGGGTGGGTGATGGTGGGTGGGGTACGTGTGTCTTTATGTTTCTTTGCACAACTACTGCATGTTGGTGCATGGTCTGCTGGGTTTCAAGACCTCAGTCCGGATGTGTACTTCTTGCCCCAACCCGAAACTCAAAAGGCAAAGTCGGGACTCTGTCCTTGGGGGAAGCAACTCTGGTGTTCACTTGGGAAGGCTAAGCCAAGTCTGGCGAGTCTACCGGAGCTACCGGAAAACACGATTTGGTGTAAGAATTTTATACAGTAGAGGTGATTTCATATGATTCTGAAGGGGACGTAATGACACCTCATCTGTGTAGAGAAATGCGTGTAGTTTGGAAGAAAGGGTTGCCAAATCTATCTGTAGTGCGGTAACCGAGACACTGTGTCTTCCAATCCTCCACAGCTCAGGTGGCAATGGGTTACTCAAATTCTGCAGTCACATGTTTTTTTTGTTTGATTCTTTTGCGTGGTGTTTTCCCAAAGCTGACATATTGAGATATATTGGACCCTCCAGCTTTGGGCCAGCTAGCTGAAACCCCACAAGTCCTTGATCTCACTTGGCCGTTAGCCCCACTTCTTCTAAGGTGTAAACGATCTGTTCGCTGCCCCACGCTCCGGTAATCCAAATCGGCCCAAATCGGCCCAATCCCTGACAACCTGGTTGTTTGGCTTCTTGCTTCCAACAGAAATTCTTAAGGCTTCCAGCAGCAACGAAACGCCCTCACCCTCCACCCACTGCCTGACCAAAGTTTTCAGTGGCACCGCTGGCATTCGTCGCCGCCTACCGGGTCGTGCTCGAAGTGTTCCAGTGTCGTCACTTGGCACAGCCAAACGCTTTGTCCTATCTGTTCTTATAAAGATTAAACAAAGACTCTTGAGCCCCCAAAGAAAAACAAAAACACACCATAATACTCCCTGGTCACCCACATATTCTATTTCATCTTAGTTCAGCCAACCAAGTCTTATCCCTCCAAGTCTCACCTCAATCCATCCCGTTCCCCGAGCCGCCGCCGCCGCAGCCTCGCTCGCCGCCTTTTGGGCCGCCTCCGCGGCCTCTCTACGCCGCGTGACGAGAACTGCGGCGTCGTTTGACGGATTTGTTGCGGCCGTCTCTGGGTGTTTTTCGTCGATGTTGCATGTGTCGTGTTTTTGCGGAATGTACGAATTCTGACAGAACGTTTCAATAACCTTTGCTCGGCAAAAAACGTCTTCAAGGTTCAAAGACCAGAATACTCGCTTTGCGTGGTCACTTGGCACAGAATTCCGTGAATCCTATCCAAAAGCCAATCAGTGACCCAAGCTGTCCTAATCAAGTCATCCTAGGGTCCTAGAACAAAACATCAAAGAGTCGGATGTCCAACAAACATCCGGAAATGCGACTCTTTTCCTCCAAGGATAAATCCCAAACATCCTGCGTGGGCCTGATTGGTCCGTCAGGTGTTGCGTTGAACCGTTGAAACCGTGACCAAGCGACCACCGACTTTGTTTTAGGCGATCTAGCATTTTGAGTTAACAGAAGATTTGCATCATGCTTTTTGGTGTTTCACCCACATGTCCAGGTGTACTGTATTTGAAGAATCGTCTGTATGGTCCAGGTCTTCTGTTGACATGGGATGAAGCAAGAAGCAGGGACTGGAAGAAAGATCCCATGTTTTAGGCTCTTAGCTGTCACGCTGTACGCTTTTGTCATTACACACACGCGCGGCTATGGAGTGTGTGTGTGTGACCATGTTTTATATACAGTAGCTATATCATGCTACAGTATATCATGCTATATCTCATATCTCCATATTGACCTGGGTTTGGGGACGCGCCCGTTTTGGGCCATAGTGATTTGTTGGGTGTAATTCTAGAGGCCAAGAAAGCCAAGCATTGCACCCGCGCCTCCAGGCCGTAGATGGACACCGAAAGAAACAACAAACACTCCCCTGCCCTCTTTTGCATAACCCCCGAAGATTAACATGGAACCTGAGAATGGACCTTTGGATTACTATTTTCCTTTAACACCGAGTGGTTTTCAGGTTCCATGTTAGTTTTCGGCAGTGTAAATCCGCAATGGTGGCATTGTTTCTTACTTTTGATCAACCTGCCATCTGTCTCCAATGGGTCCGGCCACCTCCAGCCCGCCTCACTGGCTACCGTGAGGCCATGTTGCTGTTGGAGCAACTTGTCCTGAGCGCCGATCCTTCTGTGAAACCAAATGACTGGACGACTGGGCAAGGTGTTTGCAATGCACCGGTGCTAGTGAAGGGGATGATTCCCACACGGATGACATGACAAACTGTCTACCTTTCTGGAGCTATCGGCTGCATATACAGCATTGGATGTCTTCATCCATGCTTCAGAGGCAGCTTCTTTCGATGTGGTGAAGGGGCTGATTTTCGTTGACCAAGCAAAGCGAATGAAAGATCTGGATTTCTACCATGGCACGGCCCGGCACAGGCATTTGCTTTCACCACGTCGGCGAGACGACATCGTGGACCAAGACCATCTCGCACTTGTTCTATCATAAAATTTGATTCCAGCGCTTTTGGAAGCCTGCTCAAAAGACCACCACCCGCCAAAATTGGGGGGATGCCACCTATCACCGACCGTCGCTCGGTGTTCCTCGAACTGCTGAACCCGTGAACCCGTGAGTCATCCACTCCCAACGACCCTTCAAACGACCCCAAACCGCGCCCCAATGGGCGTCCTGTAGCGTGGTCAGGTTCTTGTTCGCCTGGTGACGTCCACGGCACGACGCCGTCCATCAGCGGCGGTGTCGATGCGATGATCCCCAAATGGACGCGAAGGAAACCATGAACCGCTTGAGAGGGTTCACTTGTTGTTGGACTTTTAAACCGCTTCGACAGGGGTCCCTAACAGAGGAAAACCATGAAAACCAGCAACACTATAGGATACATGAAAACAACATGTCATGTTCCTACGATGACAGGAAAACGTATGACAATGTACAAAGTGAATGTCCAACCTGAAACCATTGTCGCACGGACCGTTCTACTGTCAAACACTGCATCATCTGGAAGGTCATCCATCGAACCACTGCTGTTCCTCACCAGCGCTCCTGAAAAGGTTGCCATGCGGCCAGTTTTTTTTTTCACATTTGAATCACTGACTGCTAACATATGTATATAACATGTTGTATATAACACTGTTGTACATGGTTGTACCTTTTTTTCGTATTGGAACTCTGGCGTACGCATTCTTCACAAAAGAGGATCGACTGCAGTCGATTACTCCCGGGTGGGTTTTGGCAATAAAACCCATGGACTGGACGATTGGTTGTTCGTTGAGCCACATACCAATACCGACCGACCATGCCTACGTACCGCTTCGCAGAAAGGTATAGGATCTGTGCTTCGCTACAGCAATCATTTTCGCAAATGGTCACATGGAGTGTGATTGTTGGAGAACTATGTGTGGGTTACAGCATTCTTCCTGCTTTTGCCTCTCATTGCCTGGAAAGGAAAGGATTCATGCAAGGAATGCCCCAAAATGGACTGGCCCCGTTCACTTGAGGCATCGTCCACTCCTCCCAAGCCCAAAAACATGGTGGCGACGGCGCTTGTGCCTTTTCGAGTCGCTGTTGCGCAGCTGTCTCCTCTCTTCTAGCCTTTTTGCGTGGACGTGCTGCTTTTTCGGGTCGAAAAGCTTCTGTTTAAAAAAGATTGTAATTAGTTAACATAAAACCATCCCAAGTGAACTCGGGTGGTTGCTTTTCCAGAAACGGTTCTTTTGTTTCCTGTAAGTCAAGCCATCACCTGATGAAAAAAACACTCGGGGTTATCTCGCTGATGATCCAGACCTGGTTACCCTACAACTCCCTAACCCTCCATTCGCGAGTGCTCCAGATATGAAGACCCCGAATCCTGCGGACCCTCCACAAAGAAGGCTTGGTTCAGGTCCCCCCTGTGAGCTTCGCAGCGTCAAAACCGCTCCAATGATGCGTTAAAAAAAAACGGTCCGATGCTCTCCAGTCCGCGGAATGGACCCGGTGCCAACTGGCCATGTAGGGTGCAAAACAGGCGTTGGGTCCAAGGGGGCGGAGGTGATTTCACCAATTGGAGGAAATAATTCCAACAAAATGTCCCGGTCCAACTCCACCAAGCAGGGCGGGCAGGTGTTTATGCATTTATAGGGCTGGGATGGGATGGTCTGGGTGTATATTGATCGATTTAGGGCATTTGCTGCTCTATCATGTTCTCTGTTTGGGATTGTTTGGGGGTGGCTTTGGACACCAGACATCAAAAAAGGAGTGAGATGCAAATTTATCATCTGCCGCTTGGTAGCTGGACAGTGCCCAGCGCCTAGACACTTTGAGGTCGTAGCCCATACCCATTGGACGACCTGCTTGTGAGATCAATGCCTATACCGCAACTTGAAAGCCACTACTAGTCTATGCAGGGTCCTGTTTCAGAAACACTCGGCTCCAAAAAGTAGCGCTCCCGCTCCCGCGCTCCCGCGCTCTCCCCGCCCTGTAGGGCCTGAATCAACTCAGATCGTTTGTCCTTTAAGGCCTCCTCTGCCCTTAGGCGACGCTCCTCCATGTGCCAGGCTGAGTGCGGAAGGGGGCTATAATAAGTGAGTGATGCCGATGGATGTGGGGGCGGCGACCTCTGGTAATCCCCACGGGGTTTACTGCCAATGCGCTAAAGGCTATTGAACGTATACTCGTGGAGCCACACAGACACCGACCCGTCTGTTCTCGTTAGCAACCAACCTTGCCCTCTTTTCGCTAACTCCTCTGCTGTGCTTAGACCATTTAACCCCTGAGTCCTTTGGTGGCCCAGGCATATATAGGCTGGTGAAGCTAGCGGCAATAGCACGAGTGACATGGTGCCACCCCCTCCCCCCAGCAGACACATGTGCAACTTATCGCAATGCCATCCAGGTGGGCAAGCTTGATAGAACTGTCCTTGAGCATGTACTGTTAGTGGCGTCATGCAGATCAAGTAACTTGTCACGCGCACAAGTTCAGGGTACGTTTCGGATCTTTCCGTAATTGTTGAGACAGAAAAGGCATTTGATTTGCCCCTCAGGAGTCTACTTGTCGGCCACTGTCTTTTATCAGACAAAGACCCACCTGATTATGGCAGCCGACGGTTCAGCACTGGTCTCTTCGAGTATTCACGCACGACTCACAAGATAGTTTTGCGTTTTGCACTGAACCACCGTTATGTTGTTTTAAGGATCTAGATTCTAGATCATTCCCTCGAAGAGGTAAAGCAGAAACCTGCTCATATGCCAATAGGCAATACACGAAGATGTCGACTAACAATTACGAAGGGTCCCTTGCAGCAGGAACCAAAAGGATTCAAGCGAAAACGCGGGGGAGACATTGCACTGCCTGAAGTAGAAAAGCAAGCGCCTGAACACCTCCAAACAATCTCATGGTGACTGATTCTTCCATACCCTCTCGATGATTCTTTAAACCAGAACATACAGAAATCTTCACCCTTTTGGTGGCTGATTCTTCCTCTCCGTCCTTGATGGCTTCAAGGGAACTCGCGACTTCCTCCATGTCGGCCGTGAACTTGGCCAAAGCGGCCTCCGGGGACACTGGAAGAAGCTTGGATCGTTTGGGTCTGGAGAAACGAACTTCGCACCTGTTCGTTTTTTGTGGCGAAACTTACAAACGAATCCCTCCAGACAAGGTTGGGCAGCTGGGCAAGTGTTTTTTTCTCCACTCATCCTAAGGGACCAGGACACACAAACCTCTTGGTTTGACCGGTGCTTTCACCATCTGGCGTGTGGGAAAAATAACACACGGTGTTTTTCTCTTCCAGGCGAGTGGGTTTGCCACTTGAGTTGGGTTCACAACCCGGGCACACTGCAGCAAGTGAACACACCATCTTATAAAACAAATAGTAAAAGCGAATCTGAAATACAAGTGAATCAGAGTTCACATCATGGTGTCCTATGGTACAGTCATAGAAAGGAATTGCAGAATCAAGGCAGGACAGTACAGGTCCAAACATGCAACATTCAGTTGGATCTCTTGGTGAATGTCGCTGCTCAACCATCGGCGGCACCTCCGCTTCTTCTTTTGTCTTCTGCCTCTCTTGCAGCTTCTCCTCAGCTCAAGACTGAACAGGATGCCGGGTTCCCCGGCAGCTTTTTCGGGTCGTCGAAAGACCAAACAAAAGCTTTTCTGAAGTCGGTCCACACCATCACAGAACCAGGTTTGGGTCAAGGGTATGCAACTGCTAGGCTCAAGCATTACAACAATGAGTCACCCCAAAAACGTCCTATAACCCTGAACAAAAGAAGATGGAGATCCCACTGCTCAAACCTGACTCCTTCAAACTATGTCCCAGTTGATCACAATTAATTACCAACAATATCCAACAAAGACATCCTAACTTGTTCCAGATCTTTCCGAACTCTCCAGCTTTCCACCTGTTTTCCACCTGCTTCTTATCAATCTAGCCTCCAGGGCTTGAAGAACCTTCAACCTTTCGTTATTCGCTCCGAGAAGCCCAGCTGTTTCACCAGGAAGACCCGAAACGACCCCCCCGGTCGCGGAAGGTTCGCGCCGTCGCCAAACCGCCGTTCCGCACCGGTGCCAAGGCACATCCGCCGCTTCCAGCTGCTGCCGTGCCTCGGCGACCTGGTGTTTCACCCTCCGACGGGGCGCCATCGACGGAGCGGGAAGGCTGTTGTGGGGTGAATGGGCGCGTATTCCCCGGAAGGACACCGGGAAGACCGAGGTCTGGGGAAGACGGAGGTCTGGGGACGTGTTTTGAGGCATGACCGAGACACCCATCAACAAAAACACCACATTTCTTTCCGCATGATTTGGTTCGGATGTTGTGAAAGGTTCGGTAGATCACCCATCTAAAAATCGAACACAAAAGACAAGAAGGGTTGTGGGTACGTCAATGATCCCACTAAGCCTAACAATATTGAGGGAGGCAACTTCATCAGGTATGGACGGATTTTAACTGCAACTCTAATCCACTGACTGAGTGTTTGTTGCAAGCTTCGGATTGATTGTCTTGATCTCAACATGTCTGCTGCTTCGGACATTTGTTTGGCCAGCCTCCGATGAAACAAGCGGCAAACACTAGATGGAGTATACTCCTGCAAGTAGTCTGGGAATATGGTGGATAGAACGTTAAATATCGATTTGTATGGTTGGGGGATCTAGACCAACAGTATGTTATGTTTGGTCAGCTACAGTATGCCAAATACCATGCTCTTGGATCTGAGACCCTCCGCTTGCCAACGGGTATTTTTCGCGAGATAAATACAATTGCACTTAATCTACTTCAGTGCTCCAGGGTCCTTTCGTGGTTAGGGTTCTTTGG